TATCATTTATGTAAATTTTTGAAATTTGATGTCTTGAATTTTGATAACAAAAAGAACAACTGTGAAAGCTCAGCTATATGGATTTAACAAGTATGCATATAAGGGGCTGATTTTTATGCGTTCAGACCTGATTTTTGTGCGAAAAAGTATCCATGTACGGGCTGAGTTCAGACCTGATTTTTATGCGTTTTGCACAGTAAAAAGGAAGTGAGTGAAAAATCAATACTTTTGTTCAGAACTTAAATTTCTTCCCAATATAATACTTGCGTTTATATAAGTTAATACTTTTTTCATTAGTAAAACTCCAGGCACCGGTTGCCAACCGCGAGTACAAAACCGGGAAAACGGAAGTTCAATTTGAAATTAATTTATTTTAATTAGTAAAGAAATCAAATTTCACTGCTCTTTCTGGCAAACTGAAGAATAAATTACTATATTTTCAGGTTAAAAGAGGAGCAGAAACTGAAAACGATTATGGCCCTGACGGTTTTGGAGATTACATGTGTACTGCACTTTTGGTACTGAAATACTTTTGAATTTTGATCACAGTTTGAATTTCAGCTTCGGTTTTTTAGAGCGCTAATTCTTTCAAACGCAGGAATTTTTTTAATTTGAAATTAATTTGTTTCAGTTGGTCAAGAAATCAAATTACTCTGCACTTTTGGCAAGCTGAAAATTAAATTACTCAGTTTTCAGGCTAGAAGTGAACCAGAAACTGAAAATGACTATAGCTCTGACGGTTTTAGAGACTACATGTGTATGGTACGCAGGGTACTGAAAAACTTTTGGATTTTGATTACCCTTTGAATTAAGTTTCGGTTCCTTAGCGCGTTAATTCCTTTGAACAGTACAGGAATTCAGTTTCAAATTAGTTTGTTTTGATTAGTAAAGAAATCAAATTACTTTGCGCTTTTAGGCAAACTGAGAACTAAATTACTGAATTTTCAGTTTAAAAGGGAACCAGACACTAAAAACGATTATGGCCTTGACGGATTTGGAGATTACATGTGCATGGCACCTTTGGTACTGAAGTACTTTGAATTTTGATTATCGTTTGAATTTCAGTTTCGGTTTATTAGCGCGTTAATTCCTTCAAGCGCAAGAATTTAATTTGAAATTGATTTGTTTTAACTGGTCAAGAAATCAAATTAATCTGCACTTTCGGCAGACTGAAAATTAAATTACTCAATTTTCAGGCTCGAAGTGAGCCAGAAACTGAAAATGATTATGGCTCTGACAGTTTTGGAGACTACATGCGTATGGTTTGCGGGGTACTGAAAAACTTTTGAATTTTGATTGCCCTTTGGATTTAGCTTCGGTTTATTAGTGCGTCAATTTCTTCGAACAATACAGGAATTCAATTTCGAATTAGTTTGTTTTAATTAGTAAAGAAATCAAGTTACTTTGCGCTTTTTGCTAAAATGAAAACTAAATTAATTTATTTTCAGGTTAAAAAGGAACCAAAGGTTGAAAACGATTAT